CTATTGGCTTTTTTGTCGAAAATTATTTGCCCATATACATATGGGTTTACTTTTGGACTCTCGATTCTGTTCCACTGGTCCATGTGTCCGTTTTGCTGCCAACACCATGCCGTTTTGATTACTGTAGCTTTGTAGTATAATTTGAAGTTGGGCAGAGTGATGCCTCCAGGCTCGTTCTTTATTCTTGGAATGGCTTTGGCAATTCGGGATCTTTTGTGCTTCTATACAAATCTGATGATGTCTTGTTCTGTTTCTTTAAAAAATGCTGATGGGATTTTGATGGGGATTGCATTAAATCTGTATAATGCTTTAGGTAATATGGTCATTTTAACTACGTTGATTCCTCCAATCCAAGAACATGGAATAACTTTCCATTTCTTTGTGTCTACTTCAATTTCTTTTAATAGGGTCTTATAGTTTTCATTATATAGGTCCTTCACATGTTTCGTTAGATTTTTTCCTAGGTATTTTATTCTTTTTGTTGCAATTGCAAAAGGAATTATTTTTTCCACTTCTTTTTCTGACACTTCATTATTAGAGTATAGGAATGCTATGGATTTTTGAACATTGATTTTATATCCGGAAACTTTACTGTATTTGCTTATTGTTTCTTTTAGTGTTCTTGTGGAGTCTTTAGGGTTTTCTATATAGAGAATCATGTCATCCGCAAATAGTGACAATTTGACTTCTTTGTTTCCTATTTGGATGCCTTTTATATCTTTCTCTTGTCTGACTGCACTCGCTAGGACCTCCAATGTTATATTGAATAACAGTGCCTTGTTCCTGATCTTAGAGGGAAGGTTTTTAGTTTTTCACCGTTAAGCATAATGGTGGGTTTGCCATATATGGCTTTTATTACTTTAAGGTACTTTCCTTCTATACCGATTTTATTAAGTGTTTTGACCATAAATGGATGCTGTATCTTGTCTAAGGCTTTTTCTGCATCTATTGATAAGATCATATGAATCTTATTTTTTAATTTATTCATGTGGTGTCTCACATTAATCGATTTGCGTATGTTGAACCATCCCTGTGTCTTTGGGAAGAAGCCTACTTTATCATGATGTATAATCCTTTTAATATATTGGTGTATTTGGTTTGCTAGTATCTTATGTAGGATTTTTGCAGCTGTCTTTATGAGAGATTTTGGTTTGTAGTTTTCTTTTTTGTGTGTTATCTTTACCAGGTTTTGATATCAGGGTAATATTTGCCTCATAAAATGAGTTGGGAAGTATTGCCTCCTCTTCGATTTTTTGTAAGAGTTTGAGAAGAATAGGTATTAAATCTTTTTTGAATGTTTGGTAGAATTCACTGGTGAAGCCATCCGGTCCTGGACTTTTACTTTTGGGTAGGTTTTTGATGATTCTTTCCATTTCCATACTGCTGATTGGTTTATTTAGTTTTTCTAGTTCTTCTTGATTCAGTCTAGGAAGATTGTATTTTTTTTATGTACTGGTCCATCTCTTCTAGGATCTTCTAGGATTTCTTCTAGGATCTAGGTGTTATATACTTTTTCATAGTATTCTTGTATGATCTTTTGCATTTCTGCATCCCCTTCTACTTTGTATGTTTATAGTTGTAATTTTCTAGCCCTCCAGGTACACTGACTCTGAGATTCTAGCAAGTATTATTAGCAAATGAGATTACTTTAGGTAACCCCATTTCTGTTTTGGCGTTTATATTTTACATGGTAAATGTTCCAGTTTCAGAAAGAATCTTTTTATTGTGTTTGTTGTGGAATCAAATTTATTTAGGTAACGGAATTTTGTTTGAAATCTCAATGTTAAAAACTTAACTAGGGTTCTGAAGCCACAAGGAACTAAAAGAGTTGAGTGTATATCACATATTGATAACATGATTTTGTCTGCAGGCATTTATCTACTTGGCAGATTTAACATTGTAGTAAATGTTTCCTTTAAAAAAATATGTTTTATCATCTCATAGGGCAAATCATACCCATTCAGGGGCCCATTACCATCTGTGTGGAATCCAATTACCTACCTAGATTATAATAATCTTTGGAGGACAATGGATAACATGGGACAAGAGGTAAATCTTTCTAAAGCTTCTTTGACTACATTTGTATTTTTCAAAATAATTTTAAAAGAAAAAAAGATGGAACATATCACCAATGCATAACACATTGTGTAGCACAGAGTAACTCTCAGTAAAGATTTGTGAAATGAATGAATGAACTTGTTTCTAAATGCTAAAAGAATGAGATGTCCAACAGACTGCTATTCGTATACTACTGATGAAAAGGGAAAAGATCATATATTACTTGACCTTCTTGAGATGATGTTTCTAATCCAGAAAATCCTCAGGATATAACAAAATAAGACTTCTGGATTTGTGAGTCACCATCATGCCCAAACCTGCAGCCCATATACACAGAGCTTGACCTGAAATTCCAGTTAAGATGTGATTTGAAACAGCTGTCCAATATGTGTAAATAAGTTGGATTTATGAACGTTCTCGCTAAATAAGTAACTTAGTAATGATATTTGGAAACAGACCAATTGCAACATAGCAGGAAGTGTTATGAATTAAAAGTTAATCATGTGGTATAGATCTATAATAGGAAAGCTACACAGACAGCATTGGCTATGCAATAAAAGTCACTATTGGAGGATTTGGAAAACTTCTTTAAGTTAGAGTTTTAATACTATTAAAATAGTTATTTAAAGTAGAAAATTACATTTTTTCTCTCTGAATCCTCATCTGAATGTAGATTCCCAGTGATGCACCATGGAAGGCACCCCTTGCAGAAGAGTGGGACCACATAACAATGAAGGAGCTACTAGACAAGATCTGCTGGACAGAGTAAGACTCTACATTAGGCACAGGCATTTATTGTGACTGTCTTTTAGGTTTATTTGACAATACCATTCAACAGGAATGGGACAAGTAGCTATTTTGTATCTAAAACTATGACATTTGGCCAGATGGAATGCTAAAAATACTGGAAGTGGGCCATGCCCTAAAGGCATCTATACATCAGACCTACTTCTTTGGAAGAGTGCTGCATCACAAAACTGGTATTTTCCAGTAAAGTCCTCAGAACAGACCAGAATGTGCCTCCCCCTTTACTAGAACAGCTTAAAGACCATTAGCTTAATGATCTAATTTATTAAATTGTTGATGTAGGAATACTTTTGTGCTCCTCTCTGGTGGTTCAATGTAAAAATAGTACATTAGCATATGCATATGAAACAGCTTATGGGAGAAACTCTTCAAGGATTTGAAGAGGAACTTCTAGAGAAGTTCTCTAAATAATTCACAACTGTAGTGGAAACATGTATGACTGGACCGACTGCTCCCATTAAATGAAAAGCATGTAGTGTCAAAAGCAAATATTCATGAGCTAAGCACTAAATTCTGGTTGACAGGGTTGGGAACTATATATAAATGTTGGGGTCTATGTAAATAGAAATATGGAGAAGTCTCACTGCTCTTGGACTGCAAGGAAAAAGAAAAGGATGGTAAGTCCAAGGACATGATGAATTTGTGGTAAAGAAAGGAAGAGAAATGGAAGCCAAGTTCAAGGAGACTGTCCTCCATGCTAAGTAGCATAAGTTGGGAATATGATTGGCTCTGGTATTGATATCTTTATTCCCTAGGCATTGGGGAAGGAAGCTGGAGCACTAACAACTAAAAATTAAAAAAAACAACAACACAATTTTTAGCAATATCTAAATCTAAGATATGGAAATAATAAAACGACATGAAATTTATATGCTAAATGTATAAATTCAACTTCTTAGAATTTAGATTAAAGAAAGAGAGAGAAAAGAACAGAGGTAGATAGGCATACAAGAAGGGAGGAAGGGAGAGAGAAAAGGAGAGAGGGAGATTCAAATAATTATTTTTAAAAGGGAAAATATAGTTTGGAGAAACATGGCGGAGTGAGAGACGTCCCCAGATCTCTCCCCTTGAAACCACAATAAGTTGAACATCTAAAACTCAACAAAAAACGCCCAAACCACACACAAGCATGTCTGAGCATGGGATCTGCACATAAAAGCTACCACAGATGTCGGGTGGTGGTCTGGGAGAAATAAAGAAGCTGCTTCTCACAGCTGCCAGAGCTCTCTGTAGGGTGAGGGGGAAGGAGAGAATGTGTGGTGAGTTCCTAGAAAAGCCCTGCCTAGGAGAGCTGTTAGTTCCACATGCCTGGTGGCAGAGCCCAGTAATCAGGGCAGAAAGTAGGGAAGCGGGATGGCAGAGAAACAAGTTGATTTTTACTGGCCGCGGTTGCAAAACCGGGGCTGAGCTGCAGCCCCTAACCCCCAAAATAGAGGGCTCTTTCCTACATACCCTCCGAGACTGATACCATGGAACCCAGGGGTATCTGAGCAAATGCTACAGAAACTTTCACTAACACAGACAGAGACTGAGATTAGGGTAGCAAGCATGATTAAATAGCTACAAGAAAATAAAAAGGCATTATTAAGGCTTTATATGAAGCAGGGATCCAAGAGTCTTAGACACCACCTACGGGAAACCAAAAGAAAAGCGCCTTCTTTGCAACAGGTTAAAGAGAGACCTTTAATATAACAAATCTTTCTGGAAAAACAGCAGAATACACTTCCATTAATGCCCAGGCGGAGAGATAATCCATTAAACACCATGAACAACCAAGGTGACAAGGCAATCAGAAATAAAGAGAAAATAAGCTTACAGACATAGAAATATGCGACTTAAATGACAGAGAATTAAGAATGGTACTTCTGAAAAAACTCAGTGAGATCCAAAATGAGTCATATCAACAATTTCAGGAATTACAAAAACAACTAGATGAAGAGAGCAAGGAAATTGAAACCCTCAAAAAGAACAGAATAGTTCGTTTGAAGGTAAAAAAATGGACTGCAAGATTTGGAAAATGAAATGGCAAGTTTGGGAAACAGAGTCGACCAAATGGAGGAAAGGATCAGTGATCTTGAAGACAGAAATCTAGAAATAAATCAGAAGGAAGAAGAGAAAAACCAAAGAATGAAAAAGAATGAAAGAGAGATTCAAGAACTAGCTGATACCATCAGAAGAAGAAACATAAGAATAATGGGCATTATCAAAGGTGAGGAAAAGGAGCAAGGACTAGAAAGATTTTCAGACAAATAGTGGAAGAGAATTTCCCAAATCTAAGGAATGAGCTGGAGCTTGAAATTCAAGAAGTCAACAGAACACCCAATTATCTCAACTCAAAAAGGCCTTCACTATGATATATTA